TCTGTCCATTCACACGGCTTCCACAATTCTTCCGTGACCACGTCCTCCTTCCGTTCAATTTGGTTGACAATCCGTGGCTTGACGGGCAGGGGTCCTGTTGGAAACAGAGAAAAGCAAAAAGGTCTCAACCCAATCCATGTGGGCCCCAGAGCACAGAGGGGAAGCTCCCCTACCCAGTGCTGACCAGTCTCCCTCTGCACTCCAACGGGGTCTCCCGAAGGTGCTTTTTCCAAGAAGGAACTGGCCTTTCTTGATTTTTCAGAATCAGTCAGAACTGAAGAAGCTTCTCGAATGAGAAGCAAAACCTCTTCAAGAAAAAAAAAACAACCAGTCCAGTTGCCTCTTGAAAAAGTACCTTTAGGGACAACCATGATCTGGATATCTGAGACTCTCCACACTCACTCAAACTGGGAGATTCAGGAAATGGGAGTGGCTGCTAGGAACTGGGACTTTTCCTAGTTCCCAACAACAACGGTAAAGTTTCCCCTTGGGTGAACTGGGAATTGGAAGTTCCTTGTCAATAAATTCTGGATTTTCTAATTATTTCTTGACTTAACAACAGTTCATTTAATGACCGGAGTAACAATGGCATTCAAAAAAGTGACTTATGACCATTTTTCATACTTATGACCGTTGCATCCCCAGGGTCATGTGATTTATATTTGGATGGCTGACAACCAATTTACATTTACGACCATTGCCGTGTCGTCACCGACCTTCTGACAAGCAAAGTCAAGGGGAAAACCGGATTGACTTCACGACCGTGCGACTCACTTAACAAATGCAGTGATTCAGTTAAAAAATCTGATTTTAAAAACCCATAAAATGGGGCTTAACAAATTTTTCACTTAGCAATGTAAATTTTAATTGTAGTCGTAAGTCGAGGACTATCTGCCATTTACTTTCCAAAATCTGGAGAAGGGATCGCTTGGTTGGATGGCCCCATAAAGGTCTAGGCATTCTGCTCTTCCAGAAGGAACCAGAGAAACTGGACCCATTCAGAGAAGGAGAATTGAGGATTGTGGGGACCAGAACTGACTCCCATGGAAAGATATTGGATGATATGGACATATGGAGGCTGAGTGGAGATGATTGAGAAGGCCTTCTTCTAGAACCTCAAAGAACCTCCCCCAGAAGAAGGTGAGGATCTCTTCCAACTTGTCCTATTGTGCAGAATAATGGACATAATGTGGAGGGGTCCTGGGTGCTCTCTGAGCTTGGTGGCTTCCTTGTAGACGTTTGATTCCCAAACTAGGTAACATCATCAGTGCTAGAAGGGAGTGGGGTTTGCGAGGAGGAGGAGGAAGAGAACTGTGGGATGCTTGCTGCTCTCTGAGCTTGGTTGCTTTCTGGTAGATGTTTCATTACCAAACTATGTACTGCCATCAGTCCTAGAAGGGAATGAAATATGTTCTCTAGCCTTACTCCATTTTATTACTGATTACCTAGTCTGATAATGAAATGTCTGCAAGAAAAGCACCCTCAGAGAGCACTAAGGACACCAACAGTCATCCTTCTCCTCCTCCTTTCCATAAATCCCACTCGTTCCTATCATCTGAAGACGTTACCTAGTTAGGTCATGAAACATCCACAAGAAAACCACCAAGCTCAGAGAGAACCAGGGACCCCACAGTCCTTCCTCCTCCTCCTCTTCCATTCCACAACCCCCCTTCCCTTCTAGCATTGATGTTCCCTAGTTGGGTCATGAAACATCAGCAAGAAAACCGAACTCAGAGAGCACTAAGGACCCCACAGTCCTCCTCCTTCTCCTAGCCTTGATGATGTTGCCTAGTTGGGTCATAAAACATCTGTGAGAAATGCNTTGTCTATGTAACAAAAATAAAAAAAATTTATTTAAAAAAAAAAATCAAGACGGGCCCTGCGCCACTAAGCCCCTTTAGATGTCAATCAGGCATCTGTGGGCGCCATATTGACTTTTTGGAATGCCTCTCACCAATCTCCAAATCGAATGTTGTCACTGGGATCTCATTCTCAGCAGACCAACTGTGGTTCCAGAGAATTTTTTGCGGGGGTGGGTGGGAGCAGGCTGAGTTACTACCTATTCACCAGAACCAGTCCAAACTGATAGGAACCCACCTCTGGTTTTGAGTCATACGCCAGGGTTCACCAACCCACGACAGCAATTATTCTCAAAAACACCACTCCCAAAAAGTTTGTTTCACAATTTTTGCTATTGTCGCAGGTCATTCCAGAAGACCTAGTCCCACCTCTGATTGGCCCACATTTTTTAAAAAAAATCAATTCAGGTAGTCCTTGACTTACGACTGCAATTGAGCCAATCATTCCATTTAATACATTAATAATTGCTAATTAATCTATTAGTAATTTAAGAGCCACTGCGGCACAGTAGTTAGAATGCAGTGTGGCAGGCTAATTCTGCTGACTGCCGACTGCCAGCAGTTTAATGGATCGAGTCTCACCGGCTCAAGGTTGACTTGGCCTTCTGTCCCTCGGTGGTTGCCAGATTATTGGGGGAAATAAACTGACTCTGTGAACTGCTTCAAAAGGACTGTGAAGCACTGTGAAGCAGTGTGTAAGTCTAAGGGCTATTGCTGTTAATTTCTGTTGCTAAGTGAGACGTTTGTTAAGTGAGTGTTGACCCATTTCACGACCTTGTCAGGAGGTTGCAAAAAGGGATTGCAGGACATGGCAAACCGTCCTAAACATGAGTTAATTGCTAAGTGTCTGAATTTTGATCTTGTGACCACAGGGATGCTGCAGTGGTTATATTGTGAAAAATCCCTTTTTTTCCTAAATCCCTTTTTT